CCACCATTTAGGAATGCAGTTTTACATCTATTTGACGAATCTCAAGATTGTGTATTGCTATAATTGCCATTAACAACTTTGTCGAAGTGATTCTAATTACAGGTGAATAGGTGTCAAAGAAGTTAAGTCCTTTCTTTTTTATCTATATCTTTTAGCAACAAATCTAGCCTTATATTTGTCAATAGATCCATTCGATTTTAGTTTCTTTTTGAAATTCATTTACACATTAAAGGCTTATTTTCAGGAGATAAATCAACTAACTCTCAATTATGATTTTGCAGTATAGAATCTATCACACTATTGATAGCTTCTTTCCAATACTGTGCTTTTGGTGTAGACATTGCTTCATCGAAAGTCATTATATCATTTTCCTACCATATAGGTTAGAAAAATTGGGTGAAACAAAGTAGATATTGTAGCTCTTTTATTACGCTTTGGTTCTTCCTCATTCGAAATGCCTTTTGTTGTATCATAATTTCTTTTATTTGAAATTGTAGTTTCTTTACCTTTACATGGAAAAATATTCTTGAAGAATGATGCATTTCATGATTCAATCATGGTTCCTTCATGTACATCTTAAATTTCAAATTTATGTACAAGGAAATGATATGCAATAATATTATTGGCATATCCAATAAATATGCGATTAGTCATCTTGGTAGCGATTTTCACTTATTTAGGTTTAGGTACTTCAACCTTTAGCCAAACCAAGTGTTAGTAGGAATGAGGATGACATGTCCATAGTTCCTATAGAGTCTCTCCCATTTTCTTAAGGGGTATCTTGTTAGGAATGTTATTTGCCAATAGAATAACTTTCTCCCACAAGTTCTGGGAAAGACTTGAATCTATCAACATTGCAATCATCATGTCTTTAAGAGTTTAACTTCAACGTTCAGCAATACCATTCGATTGAGATCAGTAAGTTGTCATTGTTTGATGAATAAGTTAAAGTTCGAAACAATATTCTTCAAATCGTGCCCCGTATTCACCACCTTTGTTACTACGAATATTCTTTATTTGTTTAACAAGTTGATTCTTAACTTTCGTCTTATACTTTTGAATACGTCTAAGGCTTCGAATTTACTTAGTGAAAAGACATAATAATACTTTGTACAATAATCAATGAAAGTTATAAAGTATTTCTTATATATCTCTATGTATTAATTCTAAAGGTGTTGTGCTCCTTTGGATAGAGTAAAAAGATGTTTTGGCCATCTTTACTTCAACATATACTTCACACTTATTATTAGGATTATTCTTAAGCATCGAAATTAAACTTTGATTCATAAATTTGTGCATAGATTTGTAATTGAGGCATCCTAATCGACTATGTCATAAACAAGACAACTCAAGTATATAATATGACTTAGAATATTTATTTATAATGCTTTTTGGTACAATTATTAGGACGTTCATTTTGAATATTCATTCACTAAGATAACCCTAACTAATATACATATCATTTTTCGTAAGTGTGAACTTGTTCGATACAAATACAAGTTTAAAGCTATTCTTGCTAAGTAGAGACCTCGAAAGCAGGTTTTTGTGAGTATTCGGCACGTGGAGGACATTATTGAGGACTAGTTCCTTTTTGGAAGTCATTTTCAATGTGATATTTTCAAGTAGTTCAACGTTTGAACTTGCAAAATTCTCCATGAATAATTATTCTCTTTCCATTTCATGATAGTTTGAAAACATGGTCTTATTTGCACAAACATGGAGGGTAGCATCAATATTGACCCACCAATCCATTGAATTACCAACCATATTGCATTGAGAAACAATTGCAAAGAGACTCATCTCTTGAACTCCTTCAGAATGGGTGTCTCTTTTAACTATGTTTGCTTGTACAGTCTTCATCGAATTTCGACACTCGTTTGAACGATGTCTGACTTTCCACAATTGTAATAGTTGTTTTTAAACTTCTTGGCATTTTTGGAGTTGTCTCTTCTTGATGCAACACTGGAGATTTTACTCTTCTTATTAATGACCTTTGAATCGGTTTCAACAAAATTCGCTTCAAGTTGAACAATAGACTTTTTTTTTTTTGGTGTTTCTATAGTCTTCCTCAATGGCTCAATCCTCAGATGGAATATTAATTCGTCTAAGTTCATCTCCTTACGTTTGTGCTAGAGATAGTTCTTGAAATCTCTCCACATAGGAGAGAGTTTCTCGGTGATGGCCGCAACTTGGAACGACGTACTCAATTCCATCTTTTCAGCATGTATGTCAAAAAGTAGAATTTGAAGTTCTTGCACTTGACTTATCACGGTATTTGAGTCTACCATTTTGTAGTCCAAAAATTTGCCGACAATAAACTTATTCGTTTCGACAATCTTGATCTTGTATTTTTTCTCCAATGAATCCCATAAATATTTGGCAGAGTCCTTTGAATTATACACTCTATTAAGAGTATTGTCCAATCCATTTAGGATGTAATTTTTGTAAAGAAAATTCGAGTGCTTCCATGCATCCAATGAAATAATCGACTCATTATTATTTTCTCCTTCTTGTACAACAGGAGCGGTTTCTTTTAGGAATTTTGACAAATTCAAAATAGTAAGATGAACTACATCTTTTGTTGCCATCTTTTGAAACTCACACCTCTAAACTTTTTCGATTTTTACCCATGTAGGATATGAGAGTCTGATATACGTATAGCCAAAGGTGGAACCACATGGTTAGTACCATTCGTTATTTGACTTGAAGTAGTCTCAACGATGTTCATTTCTGTTACACAAACATATGTTCAATCCACCAAATGAAATAAATGAATAGCACATGAAGGCTTATTCCAAAGATGAAGGAAAGGGTTTGTTTTCCAACAAACAACCACAATTTTTTGTCTTAAAATTGTTGGTGATATGTGTAGAGAAGTGATTGTTTAAAAAAATGGTTAAGTTTAATTCGGAAGAGCGTAATTAAACTCTATGAAAAGAAAGAAGAAGAATAACAAGAAGTAAGGAAAAGAAATTTGAGGCAAGTGAATAATTCTTTTTCCTTAAGACAAAATTACCTTGCAAATGTGTTAACAGACTACGGCGCTTGTCTCCCAAAATACAATGGATACAACTTGTGGTAGAAGCACTTCAAACCACAAGCAATAGCAAGATCGAATGAAATTCTTCCCTCTACAAGAAAATGATTTTTGGAAAAAAAATTTCAAAAGTTTTTGATATAATGCTCAATGCAAATGATATGAGATTCATAATGAACGTCTAAAATGTCCTATTTATAGAAGATGGAAGGTTGTGAGTGAAGTGGCACACTCCAAACTCAGCAACTTTCACGAAGGAAAGCATCCCTTGCTATCGCTAGCTTGTCTCTAGCCTCTCGCTCAAATGCTAGTGTCTATTTTCAACAGAAACTTTTCGCCCGCCTGTTGCTCGAGCGACAATCTCATCGTTAGGCCAGCGATATAATTGGGTAAATATCCCGACCAAGTTTTCCTCTTTTTCTTTTAAAATTTGGACTGCAGTTTCTCATTCATCCGAAATTGATTTTGAGATTTCAAACGTATCACGATGATCTACTCGATGAGTAGAACAAGTTATTCTATTTATATTCATAATTTGACTATTGGATCAAATCTAAATATTTGTCCAAAGTTGACCCAAAATCACTTTTCATATTTTATACTTAACTAAAATTTTCAATCTTTAAACCAAATTCCAAGAACGACAAATGACACTATCTATTTATAAAATTTAATTTCAGATTTCTTTTCTAAACAGTTCCTTTTCTGTTTCCATTCCGCTAATATGCTCTCCGTTTATTCTTCGTTCAAAAGTTCAAATGGATTTCGTCTTCTTTCCCAACTATTATTATATTTATATCTATTTATTTACATGTTTATAATTCGGGAAAATGATTTTACTTTGTATAGTATTCTTCTTTCAATTTAGTGTTCCATTAATTGTTGGTCAATTAATTTTATAATTTTAAATTGGATTAACAATATACTATAGCATAATATCATTCAACCTAGATAAAATAGTTGATCCGCTGATTTTAGAATTTAAAATTGGAAATACGTAATTAAATATTAAATCTATATATTCCAAGCATACATCTTCAGGAAAAAAAGTTAAACTCAATTAATTTTAAAATTTAAAATATGAAAATCATAATTAATGTAAAATTTATCTTCTCGAAGGCACCTCTTTTTACGTGGATATAATAAAAGTTAACACGAAAAATAATATAATCAGCTTCATCATTATCCTTTAAGAAATTACAAACATGATTTTGTGAATTTAGAATCAGATTGTGCGCATTTAATTTGATCTTATCCCATAATCTCATTAATGAAATCTGACAAACCAAATTGATTTAACTTCTTTCTGCTTACCATAAAATTCAAGGACAATGCTACACTTACTGGAAAATTTATATAGATAAATACACGCAGTAGTGGAGTCCACCCCTATGTGACTACCCTGTAGAATATTTGTGAAAAAATTTCCTGTACACAGGGCATTTTCCAAAATCCGAACAAGAGACATGCTATTTGTATGCTCCGGTGTACAGACCTTCTCACAAGAGGGGACTCACGATTTTTTTATTCGTCGTACGCCCCCCCCCCCTCCTCTCCTTGTGAGGAGATCTGTACACCGGGGCTTCAACCTCGATGTACAAAGAGAAAAATCCTTCAAGTAATTTGTCTTCTAATTTATGCCCCTATTTGATTTAGATAGATATTTAAATTCTTAGTGGATTTTGATAGAATGTGTGGTTAAAATTAATTATTAATTTTGAGTTAAATTTTATTCAATTTTTTTTAATTGAACCAAATATGGACTGTACACTGAACTAATTAAATAAACACACTCATACCAATTAATTACCTTCTAAACTATATATTCAACTTACCTAAATAAACACACCCAAAAGAATTTACTTACCAATTCATATTCACTTACCTAAACAGAACAGAACAAGAAATAAATACATGAAAAATTTCCAAACTAAACTGACAATCAATTAACTTTGAACTCCATCTGCATTTATTTTTATACAATTTCAAATAAAAATCAGAAACAGAATATAGAAACCCAATTACTCTTCAAGAAACGAATAGCAAATAGGTAAAAATATTTTGAACATAATCTGTAGATTTCTCGATTAATTTTTATTTCCTCAACTGTTCTTTCCATCCGGTAATGATTCGGCTTTGCAGATGGGGCAAACTTTCTTTTGCAACAGCCACTTCGATATGCAATCGACATGGTATTCGTGTCCACAATGAAGTCTTCCAATTCTCTCATCTTCTTCGTATTCTTCTTGGCAAACCACACAAATTTCGGGCCCTTCTCCACTGTCTTTTCTGTCTTTCGTTTTAACAAAACTTCTCGTGTTCAAGAGTTTTAGAATAGTGTCTTGGGAGAAACCATGATCACGAGATAAATTCGACCTCAGGTGAGCAAAAATATCTGATTCTTCCCATATAAGCGTCTCGTCTACCATTGGATGTGGCTGAACAGGCACGCGATGCCACGATTCAGCCACGAAAGACTGAAACTCGGAGACGTTTTCTTGCATTATAGGCGTATGGTGAAAATAAGCCACAAGTGGGACGGAGAAGCGTTGAGTTAACCTGCCGTGCTGATACTGAGAATGCCTCCGAACTCCAGACGAATGCATTGAGTAACGCTGAACTCGACGGACAGAATAAACCATAATGGGTTTTCAAATTAATCATTAAATTTGAAATATTCAGACTGTAGAAATTAGAATGGAGAAGGGAAGGATATGTGACTGCCTTTTATAGAGAACTATTGTTTTTCTGATCGGAGTTGGAAATATTTTAGGACTCCGACTCATGTAAGGAAAGTTCTCCTTAAAGATTATAGGCGTAAATCAAAAGGCGTAAATCAAAAATAGGGAAAATTGCAACAGAGGTCCCAAATTTTGCGCTTTTTTGCAAGCGTTTACCTCAATCTTCACTTTCTGCCATTCATAGTCCCAAACCTTTCATATTGTTGTAGTACAAGTACAAATAGACGGATTCTGTCCGTTTTACCGTTAGTTGATCAAATTTATTTATTTTTGACTCTTTTGACCAATTTAAAAAGAGCAAATTTGTAACTTTAGGCTCCGTTTGGTAGCCATTTTTTTCAAAATGCATTTTTCTCTTTTCTTTTCAACCACACATTCTTTATTAAAATAATATTACACATAAATCAAAAAAAATTTCCTTATTTCTCGACCACACATTTCATATAAATTTGCTATTCTAAAATATATTTTTACATAAAAATGCCTATCAAACACCCACTTATAATTACTACCTAAAATAATTAAAATACTATAAAAACCAAAATGAAATAAAAAGAAAAAGTTATCTTCTCCCCGTCCCACCAAACCAAAACCAATTCTCAAACAAAACGCCCGCCATTACCTACCACCCGTTACCCATCGCCACCATTGACCACCACCAAAGGCATCTCCAATAGGCATCACCACCGTAGGGGGTTGTTACACCAACTTCATCACCATCCAATTTCATATCTTCCCCTTATCTAATCCCAACCAAACCAAATCAAAATCCACTCGCCTCCATTGCGTTGCAACCACCAACATACTTATACACCACTTCAATATTATCCAATTCATACACTCCATCATTCGGTGCTTCAATTTCAAAATTTGACAAAACTTGTGCTGGTGCTCTCGGACCTTAATATTAAAGGATTCATGCATGCGAGACCAAGTCCAAGCAGCCACCTGATTTCCAGTAACATGATTTCTACATGGTCTCCACAAATAAAGAAAAGTTCCTGACTGTTTAGGTTGTTTTAGTTGTTATTTATTTATCTTCTTGTTAATCATGGGCCTTGAGGATAGGCATTCTGTTGCCACTCAGTCTATTTATATGTTATTCCACTGCAATGAGAAATCAACAGAAAATTGTTCCAACTGTGGTAAATTTCTCACCCAGAGAGAATTATATTTCCATTTAATCTGTCCTTGATTGTGACCACTATCAAGTGGTATCAGAGCCAGAAAATTATTAGGTTAAAATGGCAACTAACAAGGAGTAGATTGAGAGCTTGGAGGCTGGGCTCAGTGGCCTTCAAGAGGGGATGAACCGTATGGAATTGGGAGTCACCAATAAGCTCCAGCACTTGGAAGAGAACTTCAATCGAATGTCTGAAATGCTGCGTTCATTTGGGGAGGGATCTAGTAATACTATCTGCAATAATGAACAAGAAGAAAACTCAAGGAACCGACCTGATATCAAGCTGCAGGAAGAAACTGAAGGAATACGATTGGTGTGTTCATAAAAAATGGCAAAATTGGAGTTTCCGTGGTACACTGGAGAGGATCCTACGGAATGGCTCAACCGTGTGCACCAATTTTTCGAATTTCAAGCCATTCCTGAAGCCCAGAAGGTTTCATTGGAAACTTTCTACTTGGAGGGTGAGGCAAACCAGTGGTGGCAATGGCTCCGGAGGACATACCGAAATGAAGGTCGGATAATATCATGGGAAGGTTTTGAAGATGAACTATGGGCTCAATTTGGACCATCAGATTGCGAAGACTTCGATGAGACCATATCACGGGTCAGGCAAGTCGGCTCTCTAAGGGAGTACCAACGTGAGTTTGAAAGGCTTGGAAATCGAGTTAGAGGATGGACTCAAAAGGCACTAGTTGGGACATTCATGAGGGGTTTGAAGGCCGAGATTGCAGACAGAATTCGAATGTTTAAACCACAAATGCTGAAGGATGCCATTAGTTTGGCAAAAATGAAAGATGATCAGCTCACAAGACAACAGAGGTTCATCCGTCCACCTCCAGCAGTGCATCCCCCACTTGCCATTCCACCACCAGCTCGGGCTGCAATTGCAGCACCTACAAAATCTGTTCGACAATTGACATGGGATGAAATGCAAAAGAGGCATGCTCAAGGGTTATGTTTTCATTGTAATGAGCGTTTTACAATAGGCCACCGGTGTCAAGGACCAAAAATTATTTTACTTGAAGGAGACACCTCCATAGAAAATATCGAAGATGTTACCGAAGGCAAGTAGCTGAGGATGACAAAGAGGGACTTCCAGAACCTAAAATCACTCTTCACGCATTATCAGGTTGGACAGCTCCTAAGACCATGAGGATCTCAGCCAAGATTGGTCTCCAAGAAGTCAGTGTGTTAATTGATAGTGGATCAACCCACAATTTTATTAGCAACCGAGTTGCCAACTTGCTTCGACTACCAGTAGTGCCAACCGAGCCAATGTTTGTACGCGTGGCCAATGGTGATAAGCTAGAGTGCCAAGGCAGATTTGAAAAAGCTCCAGTGGATCTTCAGGGTATCCCTTTCGTACTTACACTTTATGTCATTCTTATAGCAGGCATCTGTGTAGTACTTGGTGTGCAGTGGTTGGAGATGTTGGACTCAGTTGTATGTAACTGGAAGACTCTAACCATGGAATTCCAATGGGACAACAAAAATGGGAAATTGCAAGGGGCAGATCAATCACCTATACAAATCGCTTCACTTAAAGAAACGACTCGGGAGCTGAGGCATGGGCATTCCCTATTTGCTATATGTGTACAATCTGGGACCAGTACAGATAAAGAGAACTTGAAACCAGACATGCAAAAATTGTTAGAGTAATATGCCGACGTGTTTGAGGAACCTACCAAGTTACCACCTGTGAGGGAAATAGATCACTGCATTCCACTTAGAGAAGGGATTGAACCTGTTAGTGTTCGTCCATATTGTTACGCTTATTTCCAGAAAGCAGAAATCGAAAAACAGGTGCAGGAGATGCTCAACCAAAGAATTATAAGGCCAAGCACAAGCCCCTTTTCATCCCCAGTACTATCAGTCAAGAAGAAGGATGGAAGTTGGCGATTTTGCACTGATTATCGTGCACTCAATGCAGTAGCCATCAAGGATCGCTTCCCAATTCAGACGGTAGAAGACATGCTGGACGAGTTAGATGGTTCTACCTATTTTACAAAGCTTGATCTCAGGGCCGGATATCATCAAGTAAGGGTTAGTCCTCAAGATGTCCTTAAAATCGCTTTTTGGACTCATAATGTACACTGAGTATTTGGTAATGCCATTCGGCTTATGTAATGCTCTATTGACCTTCCAAGCTGTTATGAATTCCATTTTCCGACCTTACCTTAGAAGATTTATCTTGGTATTTTTTGATCATATATTGATATATAGCCCCACATGGGAATCCCACCTGACACATGTAGGAAAGGCTTTAGAGATTTTAATGCGACAGAAGTTCTTTATTAAAGCTAGCAAGTGCACCTTTGGACAGCAAGAGCTTGAATATTTGGGACATGTTGTGACACACCAAGGGGTAAAAGTCGATAATAACAAGATTACAGCCATGGTAGCATGGCCCAGTCCTACTAACATTACTTAGTTACGTGGTTTTCTAGGATTAATAGGGTATTACAGAAAATTTGTAAAGAACTACGGACCCTAGCTTGACCTCTTACGAATCTCCTTAAAAAGGGACTGTTCAGCTGGAGTGACGAAGCAGAAGCCGCTTTCCAAAAACTAAAAGAGGCCATGACTTCTACTCCTACATTAGCTATGCCCAACTTCAACGAGTCATTTATCATTGAAACTGATGCATCTGGAGAAGGGATAGGGACGGTACTCACCCAACAAAATCGACCCATTGCCTTCATGAGTCGAGCCTTGGGAGTGACCAAGCAATCTTGGTCCATCTATGCTAAAGAGATGCTGGCCATTGTGGAGGCTATCTGAACATGGAGACCATACCTTTTGGGAAGGAAATTCTTCATTTACACAGATCAACGGAGTCTCAAATATTTTTTGGAGCAGCATGTGGCCACCCCATAGCAACAAAAATGGGTGGCCAAACTACTTGGCTTTGACTATGAGATTATCTATAGGCCAGGACGTGAGAACTCCGCAGCGGATGCATTATCTCGCAAACCTTCACGCATCCATCCCGTTTTTTATGTATCATTGCTGAAGAAATATGTGGGCGATCCAAATGCAGTTAGCACCGACTTACCCCCTGTGACTAATGAAGGAGCTGTAGCGCTCGAACCTGCGTCCATCATTGACTTTCGTTGGATCAAACAAGGTAATAAATTTGTTGAGGAATGTTTGGTACGTCAGAAAGGATTATCAGTAGAGGATGCCACCTGGGAGAAGGCAGAAATGTTGAAAGAGCAATTTCCGACGCTGGACCTTGAGGATAAGGGTCCACTTGATTGGGCGGGCATTGATGGACCACGAAGATCCAGTAGAGCCCCTAGGAAGAATCCTAGGTACCAGGACGTGGCATAAAGAAGTGCATGCATGCAAGACCAAGTCCAAGCAGCCACTTGATTTCCAGTAACATGATTTCTACATGGTCTCCACAAATAAAGGAACGTTCCTGACTGTTTAGGTTGTTTTAGTTGTTATTTATTTATCTTCTTGTTAATCATGGGCCTTGAGGCTAGGCATTCTGTTGCCACTCAGGCTATTTATATGTTATTCCACTGCAATGAGAAATCATCAGAAAAATTGTTCCAACTGTGGTAAATTTCTCATCCAAAGAGAATTATATTTCCATTTAATCTATCTTTGATTGGGACCACTATCATATTTAAACTACCATTAAGTACTTCATGTCAAAGAGCTTCAGCTTTTGTGGATAGAATTGGCAGTGCTTGGGTACTACTTTTACAAGGTTCTATTAACGGTCGGATGCCAATAGAAGGTGCATGTCCGTTTTCATGTAATGCGCTTGAATATGTAGGTAAAAGAGGCATATATTATAATATATAGTGGTTTTGGTTTGGTTGGGATGGGGCGAGGGTGGCGCTATGGTGGTTGTGGTGGCTGACGGAAGAGTGGGTAGTTGTAGGGTGTGTGTGTTT